CATATAACTTCTCTTCTTCCAATTTCTTAATCACCAAAGTGAGGTGATTAGCATGATCTTCCTCGTTCCGGTTGTAGACCAAAATGTCGTCAAAGTACACTACGACAAAGTGACCTATAAATGGCTTCAACACTTGATTCATTAGCCTCATGAATGTGCTTGGTGCATTGGTTAATCCAAATTGCATAACTAGCCACTCATATAACCCGAACTTTGTCTTGAATGCTGTTTTTCATTCATCTCCCTCAAAGATTCGAATTTGATGATAACCACTTCGGAGATCAATCTTTGAGAAGATATTGGATCCATGAAGTTCATCCAACATGTCCTCAAGCCTAGGTATGGGGTACCTATACTTGATGGTAATCTTGTTAAGGGCTCGGCTATCACAACTCATACGCCAAGTACCATTTTTCTTTGGCACCAAGAGAGCCGGAACAGCACAGGGGCTCAGGCTTTCTCTCACGAATCCTTTCGCTAGTAACTCATCAACTTGCCGTTGGACCTCCTTGGTTTCCTCAGGGTTCATTCGGTACACAGGCTTGTTTGGTAGGGCAGCTCCAGGAATGAGATCAATCTTGTGTTGAATGTCTCGTTTTGGTGGTAGGCCGTGAGGCACATCTTCGGGAAAGACATGGGAGAATTGCTCAACGATAGGCTTGGCTAACGGGTGAGGTGGTGCTGAGGTTGTGGCAGAATCGGAGGCTTCGTTTTCAAAGAGAATCAGTTCTTTTTTGGGTTCATATTCATGGTGTTCGGCTTGCAATATAGTGGAAATGAGAACGGGGGTTTCTTCTTCGGATGGGGGGTAGCTGTGGGGTTAGAGGGGGGCAAGGATGTGAGGGTAACCTTCTTCTTGTTGATGAGGAATGAATATGTGTTGGCATATCCATCATGGAACACCTTCCGATCAAATAACCAAGGTCGTCCCAATAGAACATGGCAGGCATCCATTTGGATGATATCACACCATATCTCATCGGAATAACTCCGTCCAATGCTTAATGATACCAAACTCCGGGAATCCACACGTAATCCCTTGCCATGGTTCAACCACTGAATCGTGTATGGCCTCGGGTGTGGTGAGGTCTTCAACTTCAGCTTATCTACCAACGTTTTTGAAGCGACGTTGGTGCAACTTCCGCTATCCACGATCAAAGTACATACCTTCTTTTGAATAGTACAACGGGTATGGAAAATGTTTTCCCGCTTTAGTTGGTCATCGGGACTAGCTATGTTACTCAAGGCCCTTCGGATGACCAAGAGTTCTCCTTCGTCCGCTCCAACACACTCTTCTTCTTCAAGCTCTTCTTCAGCCCACGAAGGACTGACCTCTTCTTCTTCGCATTCAACAATGGCCATTATCTTCTTGTTGGGACATTCATTGGCAAAATGCCCTATGCCTTGGCAACGAAAACATTTGGGAGTCCGGGTGTTTGTTTGGGCTGTTTTGAATGGGGGTGGATTGGTGGACGTAGACGGGATAGAGTTGGGTTTTGAGTGGGTATTTTGAGCAGGGGTGTTTGGAGTTATCTTTGAGGTAGTTGGAGGGGTTTTGGAAAAGGGTGAAGTACGGACAAATGAGGTTTTGTTTCTCTTAAGTTGGGACTCAACTTTGAGAGCCAGCTTAGANTCTTCTTCAAGCTCTTCTTCAGCCCACGAAGGACTGATCTCTTCTTCTTCGCATTCAACAATGGCCATTATCTTCTTGTTGGGACATTCATTGGCAAAATGCCCTATGCCTTGGCAACGAAAACATTTGGGAGTCCGGGTGTTTGTTTGGGCTGTTTTGAATGGGGGTGGATTGGTGGACGTAGACGGGATAGAGTTGGGTTTTGAGTGGGTATTTTGAGCAGGGGTGTTTGGAGTTATCTTTGAGGTAGTTGGAGGGGTTTTGGAAAAGGGTGAAGTACGGACAAATGAGGTTTTGTTTCTCTTAAGTTGGGACTCAACTTTGAGAGCCAGCTTAGAGAGCTCTTCAAAGGTGTCATAAGGTTGCAGCTCTACTACATTAGCTATTTGAGTGTTTAATCCAAATAGGTAATGTACCAATGTTTGTGAATCGTTTTCGTGAAGATCACATCTCATCAAAAGTTCTTCAAACTCCCGAGTATAGTCCTCAACTGAGCGGGGACCTTGCCTTAGGTGTTGAAGCCAGGTCTTCACAGGGGCCTTATTCTCTCGCCTTCTTTTGGTGGATAGGTTGGACCACCAAGTGGATGCCTACTTCCGAAACTTCAATGCCACGATCTTGACCTTTTTTTCTGCGGGCACATCTTTGAAGTCAAAGACGCGCTCAACAGTTTCTAGCCACTCTAGAAAGTCATCCGGATCGTTCTTTCCTTCAAAGGTTGGTATGTCCACCTTGAAATCGGTAGCTCCTCGTTCATGACTCTCCTCTCTAGTGGTGTTACTAGAGTTAGCTTCAGGGTGAACTTCTTCGTCGTCTTCACTTTCCTCCGGGGTATTCACCATGCTCATCTTGAGCTTAGTGAGTTGGGCAACTTGCTTGGCCAAGTACTCAACTTGGGCCTTGAGAGCAGCATTGGAGGCTAGGAGTTCTTCGTTGGACAGGTTGTTGGAAGTGTTTAACATGATGATAGTAAGGGAGAGAGAGTAAAGGAAATGGAAAGGAAAGAAAAGGGGAAGTGTGTTGTATGGCCTCAGGGAATGCTTAACAACAAGCTCTGATACCAAATGTTATATCTAAGCTCAGGGTTTTATAGTCTCAGACTCTTTATTTGCAGGGAGAGGGAGATAATCGATTGTCCTAAGTGGATAATCGATTATTGAAGGCTTCAGGTTCTGGGTAGTTTTCTGGGAATTCTCTGAGAAGGGCGATAATCGATTGATGGGGGAGTGACAATCGATTATTGAGAATTGCAGGTTTCTGGGAAAAGCT